CGCCTCTCGTTTCCATTTTTCTTCCCTTTTTTTTTTCGATCCCACTCCCTGACACCAATTTGTTACGTCTCCGTTTGTTAATTAACTTCCCGTAACTTCGTTCCGACGAAACTTAAGCGACACAAGTCCTTTCTTAATAAAACTGGTTAATCTTTCCGAATATAACTTTACCGATACACTCAACTTCGACAATCGCGCTAAACAACGCTATATCAACGAACGTCAATAATACTCTGACTGCAGTTCAATTACTCACTATCTACCCACACATATTACATTCCCCTCTTTTATATACCAGCCTACCCTATCTAGCAAATACTAGAGCATTCGCCAAAGTACATGATAGTTCTAGAAACGTTGCGTCACAGTAGTCATGTGACTCGCTGACGCAACAGTATGATCTAATTCCGTATATTAACGCAAGCGTTTCATTTATTCCGAAATAAAATCAGAAGTATTACATATTAAATAAATTCTAGATAAAAGGACCAAGCTACTAATTAGTTTCTCAAGTTTATAAAAAATAATATTCGAAAACGTCAGCAATTATGTTTTTATGCATACGCTGTAAAATATTTCTAGATATAACTGTTTTATAACTAGATTATCAACAAATAAAAAACTGAAAAATCACGTGATTCAATTAAATCAAAGCCACAGAAATTGGAAATGTTAATTATTAACAACACACGATTAACAAAAAATACATCTGAAAAGGGGCATATTCCTCTCCAAAGACTTTTCACCATCAATAAGTATGTTACGTGTAATAAACGAACATTGTTGTGTTTCTGATGGTGTTAAATGAATATGAGTATTGTTGAATTGACAGAACAGTTTTGTTTGTGTGAAAAATATAATTCATTAAGTTTTATTTCTATAAATAAAAACATTAATTTATTATAAGTTTCCCGCATCAAACACCTTAACATATTCTGCAGTGCATATTAATTTATTCATACTTCTAAGTATTAAACTTGGAACAATCACATCCATTACTCAGTATTATTGAACATGGTTGTGCTCTAGATTTCGGATCTGGTAAGCAGGGTTCGAATCCGTGCTATGCCACAAAATACTCCCTGACTTCAAGCTGTTGGTGTGTTATAAGAATAACAGTCATAACATGATAAGGTGATACTGACTGGCTGCATTTTCTGTGATCAGTAAGTCAAGACTGCGAGAAATTACCGTAGTAGCTTTGCCATGAATACAAATGCTGACAATAATAATGAATTATACTTTCTCATTTTTCAACAAAAGTTTACATGATTTCAAACACCAGTATAGACTATATTATTGGATTAACTCTTTCAAGTGTGTTAACGATGTGTTGTAATTTTAGAAAGACAAAAAAGGAAGCAACACCAAATATAAAAGTGTCTATTCTATTCACCAGTAAAACATCAATAAAATTCTAGAGCAGGATTAGAAAGATCATAGTTATACAGATGACAGCTTTTAAGAAAATTATGTGTACATAGGCTTACTCATTCAAAACACTGTCACAGTTCACTTTAACCCATCAACAACAATAGCTGTAACATACTGCATAAACTTTCTTCACTTGCCACTATATAATTTCTCTGAACTTCTCAGTAAATTGTGTATGTCAACTCTACAATCCTTCTTTTAACTTCTGAAAGAAACATTTGGGACTGCTTTAGTAGGTACATCCCACATTTCCATTATTACTAGCATAAATTATTTTTTTTTAAATAAGCCCTTTTTCCTAATAAGTTTCGTATTTTCTAAAGACTAAGCTGATAACTGTATATATATATATATATATATATATATATTGTTGCGTCAGCAAAGTCACATGACTAGTGTGACGCCACCTTTTCTAGAACTATCCTGTACTTTGGCGAATGCTCTAGTATTTACTAGATATAGGGTAGTCTGGTATATAAAAGAGGGTGACAACGTGACGGGATAATGATGTGCGTGTAGGTAATGAGTAATTGAACTGCAGTCAGAGAGAGAGACGTATTGTTGAAGTTAACGTTCGTTGATATAGCGTTTGTTTTAGCGCGATTGTTGAAAACAAGTGTATCGCACAGTTATATTCGGAAAGAATAAACTAGTTTTATTAAGTAAGGACTTGTGTCGCTAAAGTTTCGTCGGAACGAAGTTACGGGAAGTTAATTAACAAAGGGAGACGTAACAATATATTAAACAAATACCGTTTTAAATTGTTTAACATTATATATATATTTGTTTTGTTGTTTTTACATCTTGTTTGGAATATTTTCAAGAACATTTCGTTGTGACCAGCTAGGTTATAATGTTTAACACTATGTTGTTTGTTAAACGTTTGGCCCATCAGAAGTCCAGGCTGTACATCACTTTCAGTTTTATTTTTTTCCTTTGTATAAAAGGCCATGTAATGATCACCCTGGTCATCATGCTCTTTGGAATATGCAATTGTTTGATATATCTGGTGACTGTAGAAATTCCATTTTTTCTAGCCAATGATGGATAATTTGATGACTTATTGCTACCCTTAACTCCAACAGATTGAACCACATTAAATAACCAAGATCCCCAGCTAGTGGATATTGACCAGCCATCTATGTCTGTTGATAACCCACTCCAGCTCCAACAATTGTTCAGAAGGAGCTTTCATCTGTTGTTCTAGCTGCTATTGCCAAAACGGGGATACTGGCCTCTGCTTCTTTAACTTTTTTAAGCCGCCATTATCTGAGAAAAAAGGGTCAATCGTATACCTATATGGTTTCTTATCAAATAGCATGGTGTGTGTGACGAAATCCAAGCATAAAAGGAAAGTCCATAAGTCAGTGGTTTCCAAACTGTGTCACGGTAAGTTGCCAGGGATGTCGCACGTGGCAGCAAGGGTGTAACACAAATCAAAGGAAGTGGGTTAGGATGTCGACAGGGAAAAAGTTTGGGAACCACTGTTCTAACTGGTTCTTGGTTGTGAAGTGCTGTGGGCCCTTCCTATGTGCTTTTGTGGAGTTTTTTATGCTTTTAATTATTTTTAGTTTGCTTAAACCCTCTAGACACCACTAGCAACTTGCCATGACATTCAGTTTGGAAACGACTGAGTTAGAGAGTAAGAGTAGAGAAAATGATGGAACACCTTCCTAATACTCATATAGAATCGAAGCAGTCTCAACTAGCACCACCTCCGTCATTTATCAGTGCTTGCGATTATCTGTCAAGCTAACCACCATTCCATCACATCTTATGGTAAAAGATCTAATAGGGTGGAATTATCATTGTCAATTGCAGGCCACAAAATGAACAAAGACTTGAGTCCTAGTACAAAAGGTAGAAGATTGGTGCAAATGTAGAGTAGATTCCAGCTTTAGTACAACTGAAATATTATTTGATCAAAATATACAAGAGCCTTCAG